ACATAAGAAATAATAAAGAAAAGTAAATAAGTAGAGATTAATCTAGAAGACTGGCCAAATTTCCCGAGTTGTAGTACACTCTAAATATCTCAAACCCCAACGCAAAACACGATACTAAGCGTCCGAAGGGCACGTGAAGAAGGTAATCTTTTGTTACCGAAATGCACTTTAGCGTTGGAGTTTGAGCTATTTAGAAATTCAATTAACGATTAATTAATTAAAATAAGTAGTGTACATTTTTCTATTTGATATTAAGTAATTAAATGTTTCATATCACGAGATATATGAGTACATAAAAATGTTTTTTGATTAGTTGAGCTTATAGGTAATTGAATCCTACTGAAAAACAAATATTTACCTGTTTGAAGTGTTTGATAGATTTCCATGTATTTTAAGTCTCTGTGCACTTTTATATCGAAATTCAAGGCGGAGAGGCGTTTCTTCAAATTCTTTTCATCTAAATCAGTACCGTCCCTTGAATTCAGCGTTTGAAATTTGTAGTGATTAAATATTATAGCTCCTCCACGCTGCTTATAGTTCATAGGAAAAACATAGGAATTTTTAGAAATTGTACTGTTTAGGATTGGCAAAGTATATTCATCTTTGCTATGAGTAGGTGCTGCGTCACATACGGTTGTGTTTTTTCTATAAAAAAATAATTATCACAATTCAGTTATTTATCGCAAAAATAAGAACGGAAGAGAGAAAATTATTATTATGTACTTTAATATGAACGTTTAGATATACTTTACTGTACTTACTTAATAAATTCGATCTTAGTCTTATTTACTACTTCTTTTATCAGAAAACTTACTTTTTTTTACTAAAAAAAGGTAAACCGTCAATTTGCGTTGTTTCTTCAGTTTGCTCGCTTTGGCCTTGATCTTCATTTTCACTTTCTTCGTTCTCTTCATCACAATTACTGAAAAAAATGTCAGTTTGAATTGTACAATCGCACGAACACGAATAAATATTTACTTTCTTTTACTGAAAAACGATAAACTGTCTACTTGCGAAGTTGCTTCAGTTTGCTCGCCTTGGTCTTGCTCTTCATTTTCACTTTCTTCGTTTTCTTCATTGCAGTTACTGAAAAAAAAGTGAATGTGAATTGTACAATCGTACGAACATGAACAAATAGCTCACTTTTTTTTAAAAAAGAAGAAACCATCTATTTTCTGAAGTTCCTCGACTGTTTTACTTAAATTAAACATGACTAATGGTTAATGTTGTTCCTATGTTCTCCAGGTGTTCGTTATCAATATTATCAAAACTCAAGTACCTACCTATCATTTTATCAGATATATTTGTTTATTTATTGAATGAAAATTTCGCCAAATATAGGCATATTTTTTAAAAGCGTTTTTTATTTTAACGGACTCGTGTATACATTTAAAAACTGCGTTCATATTTTTCAATAATTCTATAAAATATGTTTGCATAAAAATTAATATGCAATACCTTTGCTACGTTATGGTTAAATTTCCTCTCTTTCACCATATTGTTTGTACATTGATAACATTTTCATTACTGTCCCTCTAATTGCCAGATAAGATATAGATATAAACAGTTAATTTTATCGTTTTTGGTTTTCAATGTCTGCTTAATACAAGTTTGTTTTTAAAAAACATGGATTAGAATATTATAATTCTATAGATAATATAATGTACAATATAATTATAGAAAGATGAATCATAACTGGCTAAAAACTAACCTTTTTTTTTACTGTGCACACATAAGAAATAAATGTACATAATATATGAAATTATAAGACAATATTAGAATACATATGTGAAATGTATATAGGGTGGTCTAAATATGCTCATTGCGGCCAAACTGCAAATTTAATCGAAAAATCTTTCAAACAAAACTTGCTCCCTCTTTTGATATAAAATCGTCTGTATTATCCAAATTTGATTTGTTAAACAGTTTTCGAAAATAGAAGCAATAAAGTTTCGTTTAATTGGCAGCCATGTGAAATGCGACTCCAATCGAAAAAAGTTATAAGAAAAAGTTGTTTAGAATGCCAAAATATCGGACTTTGCAAAAAATCGCGGTGATATTCAAATGTTTTTTGTTCGAGTCAAATGGCCCAAAAAGTTCGCTATATGCTCATTGCGGATGAAATGAAAATTTTAAACAAAATTGGTTCCCTATTGTAGTACAAGAACACCTGTATTGTCCAAATTTGATTTACTATACAAAATATGCGAAAATAAAAAGAAGGTTTCGTATAAATAGCAGCCCTGTAAAATCCAAGTCCAATCAAAAAATGTTGTAGGAACAGTTGTTCAGAATGGAAAAAGTCGTGGCGATATTCAATTGTTATTTGATTCGGTTCAAGTGACTTGAAAGGTTTCGCAAATGAACAGATGTAAAATGAAAATATTTTAACGTAAAATTCCCAAGGTTATTAAAAGATAAAAAAAAAAACATTTGAATATCGCCGCGATTTCTTGCATAGCCCCATATTTTGGTATTCTGAACAACTTTCTCAAAATTTTTTTTCGAGTAAACCCATATTTTACGGGGCAGCCATTTAAACGAAAGCTTCTTTTTTATATTTTTGAATGCTCTCTATAATAAATCAAATTTAGATAACGCAGACGAAACAGATGAAAAAGAGAGGCGCGGATAGGTACGAGACGCTTAGAACAATTACCTTAACTTCTCATACGTCAAATATCTTAACTAGAATTGTACAGAGGAGGATGGAAAAAAGGGCAGAAGAAATTAGGAGATGATCAATATGGGTTTAGAAGAAATAGAGAAACGCGGGAAGCAATTCTAGCTTTACGGGTAACAATAGAGAAAACGATAGAAAAAAGAAAAAGGCTGTTGACGCCTGGTTTGACGAACTTTGTTGTTTTATGATTAAAACTCACGTTAGCTTTTTAATGTTGTGTCTATTCAAACTTGCGACTTAAATAAAAACTTAACGCTAAAAAAGCTTGTAATATTGTTTGACTAGGTCTGATGATTCTGATTGTCTATGATTGTCTGTGATTGTCACTGATGATTGTCACACGATTGTCACTCTCATGAATATGATGATTGGGCTTTTATCCTTTTTTCGGATATTAACAAGAATTGTGTTAAGAGGAAGAGTAGGTGGAGTTAGCAAGGTTTAGAAACATTCAATGGATTAGTAAAAGAAGAAGTTGTTGGTTCAAGATAAGAAAGTGGGGTATAAGGGGGTACGGTTTGATAAGAAGAGAAAGGGAGAGATGGGTGTACGTGCGAGTGTCCAGCGTGCAATAATTCTTCGTATCAGATGTCAATGATTTGAAGGTGATCAATTGTATCGACTATTGCACACCAACGAAAATAATAATAGATTTTATGACTGCAAAATAAAGATAAGGAATACGAAGCAATTGAAATATTATGATGTTGGGATAAACCCCTAATGACACACCTATCATTAATAGTCAACATTAAAATACACAATAGAAAAGGTACCTAAGAATAAACTAATTGTTTGCAAAGTAAACAAAATAACATAGTCATAAACCTCATTTAAAGTAAAAGTAACCTATTTTAAATTGCTAAGAACCCAGTTACAACTAAAAGCCATAACGAAACAATAGATACAGAACGTCGACACTCAACAAAGGCGTACTTGTAGATTTAGAAAAAGCTTTTGACAATGTTAAATGGGACAAGATGTTAAATATACTTAAAAATGTAGGGATGAGTTACAAAGATAAAAGATACTTAGTTAGTATAAAGAGCAACAGGCACTTATAGCAGCTGGGGCTGCAACGTACAGAAGTGAATATTAGGAAGGGGTCACACACAGATGTACACCGTCACCGCTACTACAACATCATTAAAGATAGTACAACTGTAGGGATATATATACAGGGGCAAAAGATTAGTATGCTTAGATTTCCAGATGACATAGCAGTATTAGCATCTAGCAAGGAGTTACAGATAATTTTTAAATAAAATGGAAGCAGTATTGACAAAACAGTACTGCATGAAAATTAAATAAAAGTAAAACAAAACTACTGATATGCAAGGGAGGAAAATGTAGGGAAAGCGCGAATATAGGGATAGGAGACTAAAAATTAGAAGAAGTGGTCGATTTTAGATATCTGGGAAGTCGGATAAGTCAGGACGGAAGGAGTAGTAAGGATATAAAGCAGAGAATAGCGCAGGGTCGAGTCGCCTTCCATGAAAAGAAATCACTTTCATGCTCGCGAACGGTTAATTAAGAAATTCGAAAAAGGTTCTTAAAGGGGTATGTTTGGGGCACGGCGCTGTACGGGTGCGAAACATGGACAGTGGGTGCGGCGGAAAAGAAAAGGTTAGAAGCGTTCAAAATGTGTTGTTACAGGCGAATGATGAGAATACCGTGGATAGAGGAGGTTAGAAATGAAGAGGTATTATAAAGATTAAGAGAATTGTGGACTCTATGGAAGTCAATAATAAATAGGCGAGATAGGTTAGTGGACACCTTCTCAGACATGAAGGTCTAGTCAGAGACATATTAGAGGCAGAAAGGGAAGATAAAAGGGGTAGAGGTAGACCTAGATTAGATTACTGTTCGCAAATAGTTAAGGATATGGGTTGCTCTAACTTTAGGGAAATGCAAAGATAAGCGCAGGATAGAGAGAAACTACATCAATATACTGCATTGTTTTGTCGGTGACCTTTAGATTTGCCGCGTTAATAGTAGGTACTCTTTTGATTTGAACCATTTACATTCACACTTCACAATCGAATAAACAGCATCCTTTAATTGTTGACTTAGACGTTGTAATTTCTCGTACCGATCGTCCATTGTTTCGTGATTTCCATGATTAATTATTGTGCGACGATAACATTTGGTTAAAAAAATTCGTGATACTGATAGTGACGTACATTACTGTACTGTAAATAGCCATGCACATATTGGCTATCATGAGGTACTGCAAGGGATCAAAGTTAGCGATCTCAAAAACCCCTTTCGAAATTCTAAGCAGTCTCTTCTGTGAATATCCACATAGGAATCATAATAGTCGTAAAGGTCTCGCTGAAAATCAAATACATACTTTTCATTTATTCGGGACGTGTGCCATTCCAAAAATATTTGCTGTTGCCTCGCTTTCATGATGTCGGGTCCATAATACTTGATGTCAAGCAGATTAGCTACATAATTCTGGTTTTCGGTAGTGTTGAACAAGTACGGAAACTATCGCTTCTTCAGTTCCTCCGGACCGAATGTTTTTGGAAAATCTGCCAAGGGTCCCGCAATGAAATTAAAACTATCTATAATTTGTAGTTGAATTTGCGATATTAGCTTCATTCCATTGTAAACAGTAAACGGCTTGATAGAGTTTTCCACACATTATTCAAGTCTACGATGTATAGATTAAAAAGTAGCGCTCCCTTCCGAATATTTACTTCCCTACGTTGCTACTCCAGGTCTATAACTGTTTGTTGCTCTTTAATGAATAGCTTATGGACATCCGAAAAGCCGTCACTAAAAGTAGAAACATTACGTTCAATGCTAATTGTAAAATTTAATATGGGCACCTGTGAAAACTTTTTGGACATTCTGAAAACCCAGACCTAGTAAAAAAATGCCACTCATGCGAAAAATATGACTTTAAAAATAAATGTTAATTCAGTAGTAGTGTTATTTGTTTCTAATTTAAGTACACCACCAACAATTCCAAAAAATCCTCAGTCTTGTTTTCCCGCATTGACTTATTATAAAGTTGGCCGCCTTAGACTTGTACGACACCCGTGCTCATTCCGCGCCCGTCATTACAACCTGTAGAACTATTTCGAAATGGAAGTCGTACGTATCTCATACAAACTCGTCTCGTACACGGCCCGTGCCTGTCTCGTCAATGTGTGCCCAAATTTTTATAATCCTCCGGGACTTCCCCATCTCGTAAATGTGACTAATTAGCTTAAGCATACGATTTCTAAGCCCTTGTCCTGCATGTTTTAGAATTTCCGCCTGTATCACGAAATTCGTAAGTTTTCGAGTTTAATGGCATACCAATAAAATTATTTGTCGGTCTCAGATCAAAAATTTACGTCGAGCTGTAAAAAAAGGCAACGCGATAGGATCAGAAAAAGATTAAAAGTATTAAACGGGTCATTACACTTGACGATTTCGTCGAATGTTGACTATTTTAAAAATAAGTACGTTTCTCAAAATTTAATAAGATCCGAAAAACATGCAATTTTTTCCATAACACAAGATAAGATCGCATTAAATCCCAACGATCTTTTAAAAGATATTTAATTAAGGGACCG